CACAAGTTGTGTTTCAATTGTCGTTGTAAGTTTGTATTTTCCAGTGATAATTACATATTACTATAATTGCGGTGGCTATAAATGAGATTGGAGAACGTTAGATGGCCGGCATTTTTACTTTTGCTAATGCTATTAATCGTTATAGCATCATTTTTTCCGTGTATTAGTTTCGTTCTATTTAGGAACTAGTCTATTTATAATTACTGTAATACCACAATCAAATTATACAAGTTTTTTCATAACGTATTAGAACAAAAATATTTAATTGATCGAAAAGAATAAAGGATCGCCGCTGAGAATCACTGTGCGTAACTATCGGAATATAGGCTCGGTGTCAGCCGACTGGCGTGACCCTTGATAGACAGGAGGAGGTTTGGTGAGATCTCGTGTATTAATTAAGGCGAATTAGCCTTGGCGTAAGCCGGACAACGTCGGCTGATCGGTTCCGTGTATCGAAGGATACGCCGATGATCGCAGGCAGTCCTCTCTGTGGATTTCTCTACGGAGTGGTAGTGCTTCGAGTACCCTGTTATTAACAATGCACGTATGCACTAATGCCGAAGGCTGCGATTACCTCTGGTGGGTTAACGATTTCCTGACGAGCATGCTCCTCCGCATTGTTCTCGTTGGTCGTTGCAAATCTCTCGTTGCTCTCTTTTCTGCAAATAATTTCCCATAATCTTAACGTCGCGTCGGTATGTTCAGCCAGCATCACTTTCATGCTCGGTACTTTGCTTCATGCTTTATTCGCGATCGAACTTAGAAAGAATGATTTCACAAATTACGTTAATTGTCGTATCAATTAAAGTGGTTAATTTCACATTATAATTTAATATATTTGAAAAGTTTGGGATATGCACGAAGTAAATCCACAACTTTACAACCATAAATTCCGGTTTCAGAGAGAAAAAAAAGAGAGAAAATAAGATTTTATTTAAAATAAATCTAATAAATTAAAAAATCTAGTAAATATATGAACTTATATATATAATATGCAATTGTAACTTCTTTTTTTTGTATTTTTAATATTTCATTACTTTGAAAAAATATTTATACCTATTTTTATGACATTAAAGAAAAGGATTCGCGTTACTTTCCGATGAGAGAAGCAAATTCAATTGTGCCAAAAGCGAAATGAATTATTCGAGGCGTGTATAATTTCAAGGTGCGTAGGAGACCCTCAGCATCTCATTACAGCCTCGAACTGACATCACATGAACATTGCATCCGCGAACGACACGCTATACTCTTTTTTTTTTTAACGTTCTAGTCGAGAGAGCTGTTAGTTCGCTCCTCATTACCAGCACGCATCATGTCGCTCAACCGTGCGTCCTAGCAACTTTCTCACATGCTGTGATGTGATAATTATATGCCTCGTGCTGCAAATGTCTCGAAGCGTACAGCTTCGTTAACCGATGGTTAACGGCGGATCTGAAAAACGTATTGTATGTATGTATAAACTGCTCCTAATTTATGTGTTCAACGATGTTGTAACACGGTACGATAAATATTATGCAATACGACATAAATAGTATTTCTTCACGAAGAAAATTAACGCGTTTCATATAAAACACTGGCATATGTCCGCATTATTGTGTAGCTTAATAAGCTGGGTAACATCTTGTTTGTACATCACTCGTAGTGATATGATACAGTATAAAGAAGAGTAACGGAATTATTACAAACATGAAGTAAACGCTAACGATAACTTGTTGCAGTATATTAGAGTAGTGATAACCTCTCACTTTTCGCATCCATCGGTAGTCCAACACACGCTTGTTATAGTACCGCGTTATAATAAGTGACTGCACACGGTGTGTAAGATAAATACTATTACATGTTTTTGATGCTTTTGATGTAGGGGAGAATGGGAGAATTACGAATGGGAGAATTACGAAGGAAAAAGTTAAATAAAACTGATGATTATTTATCAATTATAAAAATCTTCAAAAGATATTGGCTTTAAACTACAATATATATATAATTATAGTTTATGTTATTAATATAAAACTGTAATTTTGAATAAAAAACAAGACTGATTCGGCATTGCCTCACATGGCTGCTGATAATTCCGAACCGCAAAGATCTACTCTTACAATACTGATTTAAAAGTTACACTTTGCGTGACTGCAATAGATTTGTCTCAAGATGAATGAACTCGTTTCTATATCCAGTACCACAAAAGACGCGGTATGCTATTATGCGACAATTAAATAACGTCTTTGCTTATTTTCCAGCACGCGTGACAAATGAATCGTAATACATTTGCATTGTAAAAAAATATATTGCTACGAAATTAATGGATCTATCACTTCGTTAGATACGCTGTAAGAATAAAAGTTGCAAAAAGGACCTGATATATATAAAGTAAAATGGGAGTAAAGTATAAAGCATATTGCGCGCAGGTGTGTGTAATTTTCAGGTATGAGAAATAATTGTGTAAGAGACGCTCAAACTGGTTACTAGAATATTAAAATTTTTTTTGCAGCACTATCAACGTTTAAGCGTTCTGTAATTATTTTGATGATTCAACAAGATTATTTTCAGATTTGTATCTATTCTCTAAATTCTTTGGAGTGGAATTCAATTCTAGAGAGTGAAAATTGATCCAATCTTGAAAAAGAGTGACTCAATTTTCAATTTTTAAGAGTGAGATTTTACTCTTTAAAGTGAGATTCAGTCTAAAAAATCTTTTAGGAAGTAGCTAAATTTTTAAATATTTTAACATAATCGTACTCTTTCCTGTATGTTCCTTATTCCTTAAATTATCTTTCTTTTGTTTTTTTTTATTCATTCTTCCTTCGCGGTGCATATTCGCTGTGAGAGCAGTGCTACGATCGGCTAATCTCGTGATTAAGTAACGTATCAAGAAGAAAGGGAGGTCGGACGCGAGGGTAGGTACCGCGTTATAATCTACAGCGCAATAAACGCGCGGAGCCGTGCGGAAAAATGCGATCGAAATGCATTAATAATGGGAGAACTAATGCGACCCTCGTCCGTTGCCCATCGACCGATATTACGTGCACACGGCTCGTAAATGGACTAATTACTCAAAGATTACGTAACAACCGTGAGCGCGCGGGCACCTTCGTTCACAACGTCATTAGTCGTTTCGCGTATCCTCGGCACGTTGCGGAATAATATTCGCCCGATGGGCGTCGAGACGTTTAAGACGGCCGATTTAGATCTATCGTGGAGAGATAGAAAGAGAGAGACCACCATCCACGCGCCTCGCTAAAACTCGATCCTTTCCAATCGACGCAAATCGAGAGATCAGGGAAATGGCTTGCCATTCCCTTGGGTCGCGCGTCTCTAATTACCCTGACTTTCAGGCTTGCCTCGTTAATTACCATTCGGTAATTAGACTCGCAATGTCAGAAAGGTGACGTTAATATTCCAGGATAACTGGTTTTCTTTCTGCGTCTAACCGCGGCACTACGGTTGTTACAAACAATTGCGAACGCCAGCTGTAAACGACGACGATCCATTTTCCGCGAGATACGCGATGTGCGTGTTACTCTATTATTTTAGTACAATGAAATAAATCGCGTTGAAAGATAAAACGCGCTTTTTTTGTAGACAAAAAACGACTCTTTGCTGCATATCGGGCTGCTCCATCTACGAAGTCATCGTGAAGATACCGAAAGCGCAATTTCTCGTTAAAACAATCTCACGGGCGATCATTTCCCCCTTCGTGTACTGCAATAATTAAAATGTCCGATTTATAAAGATTAATCGTCTCTAATGCGTAATAATAAATGTGCGTTAACCTCTGCCTCGTTTCGCAGTTGGGGAATCGCGACTTGGCTCACGCCCTACGACGCGATAATTGTTCCGACCGAGCCTTAACACCGGCCATTTACAAGGGCAAATACCAAATTAAGGGTTAAGCACCGATCCCGCTTCCCTCCTCGCCCGACCGATCCTCGCGATAATAACACTCCTTGTCTTGACCCGCTGTGACTTACGACCCTGCAGCTAGCTGAGACTACCCGCTCGAGATTCGCGGACAGACGCGCAGATATATCGATCAAATCGCGACGTTTTCCACGAGATCAGACCTGAAGAAAGACGAGCACGTCGTCGCCTTCGTCGCTGAACCGACTGAGCTATTATCCGAGTTCAACCGGCTGCAGATTTAATGAGATCGCGAACCAGCCGCCTGATCGTAACATTCGATTCGCCAGTCCATCTTCGTCTCGTGTTGCACGAAGCGAATGAACTTGATGGCGATTACGTCATCGCCTTACGACCGAGCCGTATCCGTAATACATCTGGAGCAATTCCTCACTCCGTCTTTCGATTTTGTTTCTTCCTATTTCTTCCGTGGGTCACACGATGTCTAATCGTTTTTCACAGCATAGCGGAGCGAATATAGAATCGAAATGATTTTAATATAAGTAACTCTGATCGGTATTCGTGGATCCAATAAACATTTTCTTCAACTACGTTATGAAAAATTGTTTATTAATTATTTTCACAATCTTACATGATTTTAAGTTATATAATCTTATTCCTCAGATTTTGACCTTTAAAATGACAAAAATTTAAACAAAGTTATATTAATTTAAAGTACACTGAACCCGCAAATATTAGTTAAGGTTTCAGAGCAAATATCGATTAGGATTAAACATTAAATTAATTTTTAATCCATAAACACCACTGCAGTAATACTTGGTATTCCCAAATAATTTGATTGCTTATAACTTTTATATTTCGTAATTAAAATTAACATACTTAGAGTATACATTGCATTTTATTCATAGCTGAACGACGAATTATATTATGTATAAAAATAACACAAATATGATATAATATACATACTTATATTTTGCCAAGTTTATTTTATGAATTTTTCAAAGTACATTTTTTAGGATACTAATTAGAGCTTTTATTTTTTTATATCGTTTTTACATCGTTTATTAATGAATATCTCTTAATTTAATCAAAAAATCATTTAATAATTTTCAACTTCTTTAAATTGCATGTTAAACAAATTCAAAATACAAAGCTTATAAAGTTACAAAAATTATTGCCAGAAATCAGAAGGTGGAGGAAGCAGTTGTGCCATTCTGGTCATATTATATAAGTTGCTAAATTCCCAGCAAAGTTTTTTGGTGCAGACAATAGTGCTTTTGGAGGTGCAGAAGCAAGTGTTGCAGCCATCAAAGTACTGTTTTTCTGGTATGCATTTTCGTTCCGGCACTATATAAATTAAATGATGAAAATAATGTGAAAATAAAATTATTAATTCCCATAACTATATATCTCGCTTGAGCAACTTAAATAATTGATTAATAATATTTATCATATTTGTAAGCATAAGAAACGTTAGTTACCTTGCGTAGCTGAAATCAAACCGACGATGCTAATGATTATAAGTATCACAAATATCTGATGTTTGGATGTCATGGTTTTAGTACTTCATATGATTCAAACACTTCGAGCGTCGACTTCTTTTTGACAGAGCCTGGTACGACGAGATCTTTATATAGGATCCCTCGTTTACATATTTCGTGCGTGACTATGGGTACGGGTCCACTTGGCCCTATAAATGCTTCGAAGCGTTTGAGTGACCAATTGGAAGGAAGAATTTTACTAATTGACCAATGCTTCAAAGCATTTGTAACATCAAGTGGCCTTTGACATTGGGACTGCGTTTTCTTTCTATCTTTTTTTCTCACGAGTAGACTGGGCTGCGCCGAGTAGTTAGAAGACACGCTTGAAAAGTCAAATGCTCGTTCAAACAGAGTTTAAAAACAAGGTATACGTAAGCGATGACGCATCAGATTATCGCACGTATATGTAAATGCTTCATTAACATCTAACGTTCAAATGTAAACTGATATAGTTTTTGTGGAATCTCGAAGATATCCGAATTTGTCATGTATGCACGTGGTTAAAATAAAATGAATCAGTATATGTCATTCGTAATGTTTTCGAATATTTAATTCTTATTTTCTTATTTATATACAGACTATAGATAGAAGATAGAATCACTACACTAAAAAAAAACTTGTTTATTGTAATTTGTTTCTTTAATAGTTTCAAGTAAAACAAATTGATTAGAGTTAGAAAAATTTTTTTTATTAACGTCAAAAGAGTGAATTTGTATGATATTTTAATAAATACAAAATTGATAACAATAACTTTCGAGAATGTCATAAATAAAAAATAAATAGAGGGCTAATGAGAGTTTGTAATCACGGTAATTCGTGCGATAAAGAAATTTATTTCGTATTACGATAAATCAGACGTTTCGGCTTCCCTTCAAGTCATCTTCAGTATATCTAAACCATACAATATAGAGTAACTTCTGATGTCTAAACGAGAGAGTGACCAATTCCATCTCCACCAATTCGTGTTTAACCATTAGAAGTTACTCTATATTGTATGGTTCAGATATTTTAATAATTATTTTTGTACTTTCTATGCAAAGCAATTCTATTAATGTAAGTTTCTTGACTGACAAACGGACAATAGTTTTATAAATATGTATTGCATAGTATGACTTGCCCATTGTGATCATTAACGATATGACAATATCTAATATTATATTTTATAACAAGTTGTTTTATTGATAAAAAATGTCGAAGTCATTAGGCCGATCGAATAAAGATTACTATTTTCGATGCAAACAATTTTATTTATCGATCCAAAATTAGTGTAATAGATAAAAATATATGATATCTCAGAGCGAGAAATGACTAATTTCTGGACAATATAATACGTATAAAAATCGAAATAACATCGCACATACGCACACACGCACACATATATATATAACATTTTTATGGTGAATGAAAAACAAATTTATATGTATCTTTTTATTATTTGAAAATTTATGTTACATTGAGGCTTATCGATGGAGGGGTTGAAACGCTAGACTTTAGCATAGCCATTAGTGTAAAAATTACATCTTTACATTGAAGCAAAGTATTCTTATTTACAAGTCCTGGAATCTCTGGATATTTAGTTTATTCACATGAACACGGAGGCTTAATGAGACGGACGCCACCACACCATCTAGTAGTGCAAAACCACTTAGATTCAACTAAATCACAAAGACAGCTATTGCATCCGTTATAATAGGAAAAACCGGCTTCACAATTGGGCAATGGTGCATCTGTGAAAGACAGATATTTTGACATTATTTTCACATGCTGTGTTAGTTGTCATTAAAGAGTTATAATTTATAAAAATAATTTATAAAAAAGAAATAAAGATTTACCTGCTTCTCCTTGAATTGAAACGACCAATGTGATCATCACGATCATCAATGTTAAGATGGTGTATTTACGTGACATTTTTATTCTGTTTGCCTAATACACTTCGTTATATTACGAAAAATTTGATTCGAGTATAATTTTTACACTGAGGCAAAGCCGAATGCGGTGAGAGATTTTATACTGTTCGTTGATCGGGATATATGATTATCAATACGATAAATACGATTCAAGTTGTTATTGTTTTATTGATAAAAGGAATCATTATCAGGTATCAAAATTTCCATTTTCCTTGAATTGAAGTGAATTATAAATTGTTATCTTATCTTGATTTAAAACATGTATAATAAATGAATATAGAACGTTTCAAGGTGAATAAATACTATGTATTATAATTAATGTACATTGTCGCATGATTGATTATACATCGATACGTAACATTTCGATGATTATTTAATACATTTTATAGTTTAATACAAATCTATTTTTATACAATAGAAACGTATATCTAACCTCTACCTTTAATGTCTAACTTTCTTCACGCGATATAAATACAGATTAGGATATAAGTCTTGTAATATTATCTATGTTGTTAACAGTATGCAGCACATGCAAAAATTCATATAAATGTATATAAAATTTATGATATACGTATTTCTAAAATAGAAGATGTAAATATGAAAACATTAAATTTATGTTGTAAAATGTTTAAAGATATGGATTTTGGTTATGCTATAAGTATACACGGATAACAAATGTCTACGTTGATATTCCGGTGTGATTGACAAATTTTTTAACCAATTCAGCTTCGAGGAACGCAATTTTTGTCTTTAAATAGTAAGGATATTAACATGTCTGTTAATATCGACATTAGTCTATGTTATCGTCAAGATATTTTCATAGTATTATTTATTTGTTACAGGCGAGAAGCCATATCAGTGCACGTGGGAAGGCTGCACGTGGAAATTCGCACGATCGGACGAGCTGACGCGGCACTATCGCAAACACACGGGCCAAAAGCCGTTCAAGTGCCATCTCTGTCAGCGATCGTTTTCGCGGAGCGACCACTTGTCGCTCCACATGAAGAGGCACTGATGGTGAGGACCGTCTAGAGCCGCGCCGATGTGAGAGAAAGCGCACGCCGATCTGCGGGAGGAAATAGAGGAAAGAGCTGGAGAACGATCCTCGGTAATCGGCTAGTGATCCTGAGCAATCCTAGACGAGAAACGACGATATTTCTTACATTTGGGACCTGAAGAGCCATGCCGTGTGTCGGCCCGTTTCGAACTTTAGGTCGGACCGGCCGGCCGGGCAGGCAGCAACTAGGAAAAAGAGAAAATAAATCGACGAAGCAAACAAATCGCGTTTATTAGATTTAGCGCATAACTGCGAGCTAAGTAATCGCGGCGCCGATCAATTTTGGTCGGCTGATTCTCTCGGTGCTGTCTCTCGCAAGCCTTTCCGACGGGATCTCTGCGGAAAAGAATGGCCACAGCTGCGACAATTGAGCCAATGTCGAAGTTACGAGGGTCGAATAATCGCGAGGGAAGATAATCGTTTTATCAGTTATCGGGCTTTAACGAAGGCATATTTCACGATTATGAGGGAGGAATGATCCGCTTATGCGATCGAGATCGCCTACAGATTCGGCACGATGAGACGTATCGTTACATATATCCGTTCTCTTCTGTGTTTCTAGCCAATTTTTACTCGTTCGATTTTCCAGTTTGTTTTCTTTTTTTTTATATATATATAGATATATATACATTTAATTAAGGCCAGCTCAACTAGTCTAGAGCACCATATATTGTATGTATCGCGAAGAAGAGAGCCAGTATAATAATTAATTAATTAATTAATTAAGGTAAATAAATGGTTAGCATGTAAGTTAAAGAATATATCGAACTCCGGTGACGGAGCTTGGGACTTAGCATGCTCAGTTAAATAAACTACAATCGTGATCGTAGACACTACGTAAAGCATTGATAGAGCAATTTTTCGATTATGCACAAAGAATTTCGCGTTTAGAGACGGACAATCATTAACGTTTTATTACGTAGTAATGAAGCGTGATATATAAACGTCGGCATACCAGAAGCCAGTATTACGTAACAAGCAATATCACCGATGGCTTTATATGTATGATGCTTTCCAAAATCTTTTTTTAATCGCAGAAAGGAGGAGCCTTCTTCGATCGTAATTCGCAAGTCGTTAAATTTGAATTCCGCGCGTAAAGGTGCCAAAGTAGAAGGTGCAATCACGAGATATCGTAAATAGTGCTTTACGAAGAAGAACAAGTGTAATCGAGTAAATTATTCTTTTCTATGGCGCCTTGAGATTTTCAATCCTGAATGCATTGTAGGTTTCACGCAAACACTAATTAGTGACAATGTTATTCCGCATTTTACGTAGGCATCCTGAAGACTCAGCAGCTCAATAAATATCCATTTGGGCGTCGAAATATATGCTCAAACATCTTGTGTTGATTATCGAAAGAACGATTCACTGTTCATATATATTTATATCGTTCTTTACGATTTTCTATTTACAAATGATGATTATATCAGGATGCCTTGACACTTTGAATTGGCGATTTCAGGATTACTAAGTCAAAAGAGCAATTTAGGCTTTAAATTTTAAAGATTATTTAATTAGTTACTATTGGATTAATTAGTAGATTTCTATAGAAATTAGTTTGTGTAGGGAGACAGCAATGTTTAGCCACAAAGTTTTGTATTTACTAAATTAGTAATGTATATTTATAAAATCAAACTATGAAGTGTTAGTCATATCTTAAATGCCAAAAATAACAATGAACATTTAAAATGACCATCTTACCTTTGATACTAGTGTTAAAGCGTTTTGGAAACATATCATATAAGCCGCGTTTCTTTTCACGGATAAATTCTTCTAGACAGCCAATAAAGCATTTAGTTCATCAATCGGTGAAAATCGTTTATTGTAGAATCTTTTTGGTATTCTAACTATATGTTAGAACTAACTATATGTTTAACTAACCTTTTAGAGTTTGTTTTTTTTTTTTAAATATACGTTATTACCCAAGTTGACGTTATTTATCATCATTTTGATGTCAAAATAATGTCTTTAATGTCGTTTCAACATTCAAATGGTGACAAATAGCGTTTGCTACCTGAGTAATGGTTTGATAAACATCCAATTTTGTGACTAAACTTGCTGTCACCTTCTACAGATTTTGTAGTTTTGATTTAATATTAAGAGTACAAAAACGTTAATAGAATTAATTGCATAATGTGATGTAAACAGTGTATGTTTATTTAGTTTCAGTCGAAAGAAAAGATGGATGGATTGGCTGTTGAAAATTATACCGAAGATATCGAAATCGCTAATTCCGCGTGTCAAACAATTGGACATTAATGGACACGAAAATCTCAATGCGCTTGCTTGATATCGTAATACATTGTGTACATAATCTCTAGAAACTTTGTGGAACGCGACATACACTGCGTAGGTGGCAGATGTAGCATTAGCCTGTTTCTTTTAACCGCGTTTACGCCGCTGCATGAGCGCGGCTGAAGTTAGTTGGGACACCTATCATGAAGCCAGTTGAGACAACGGAACAAGATGCCAGTATATCCTAGAGCCAGTTTATATCATTAGAGAGAAAATCTCCGCGTGTAAGATTAATGCGAGGGTCGATAAATTAACATTTGTTACATGTTGTACTCTGATAGGGGATAGTGCCTTCTAATGTTAAGAAAGGGGGACGCTGCGTTAGGCCTTAAGTATTACTGTTAGTGCCTTAAGTCACGCGAATCTTCGTGCTTGTACACCTTTCATAATCCGATCCTACGAATCCTCGCCCGGAGGACCAGTTCGGCGCGCTTTATGGTATCTTCCCTGCAGAAGTTACTAATCGGATGTCACCTCGACTCACATGAAGCTCTGTTAAATATGCACGAAGTTTTCGGGATACCAGATATTAAATCCGGGAATGAAAACTATATCAAGCGAATGAGGAATGAGATATCATACTCGTAACGATATGGAATTTTTAACGAAATTTTTAGTTATCTATTGAATATCGAATTGAGCAGCACTATAAGATTCGGCATATTGGCACATATTGACATATCTGATATTCCTAGCGGAAAGACTAACAAACTTTTTCTCTTGTTTTAGTTTCAATCGAAGTGTTGATCGTTCATATGTTCTATATTGTTATATGATCATTGATATAATCGAATGTATTATTTCTTCTTTCATATAATTTTTACAATTTAGAATATAATTACTTATGCATCCTCACACATTTCTGTGTAGATCTCATTGCATGCTAAAATTTTGGAATATCCAGTATTTCACACACTCCTTAACATATCGCATGAATTGATAGGATGGATAAAATAATAGTCTAATATTCTATTGCTTTTTTGCATGATTTACTATGCTGGGCTGCAGTAGAATCTTTATAGGCGAACTGACAATAGTCACGTTTTCATAATACATATGTATACAAATTATTTTCGTACATTGTTATCACGAAATTCAACAATGAAGAAAATATCCAAGATACTATTTTGATCGTACTAATTCTTTATCTTTGAGGAAAATATCTCTAAAACGGTCGTCAAAAACAGCGCTGAACTTCACATGAACAGCAAAAATGTTATTGATGTAAATATTGATGGCATAACGACACCGTCTTTCACTTTCGCTCATATATTTGTGCTGATGCATGTCGTCAACTTGTCCTTTGTATGCCTTTCATTCAAATTTAGATTTCAGATTGCTATCTGAATACTCGTATTAACGGAATATCCAAATCCCTTTTGCGATATTGAGGAAAATTAACTACAGATTGGGCCTTTTAATTTAAACTATCCCGAACTTGAATAATTATTTTCGTAACCTTTCGTTAAGATTATCATCTTTTAAGTTATCTTTGTTGAAGTTATCTCGTTTGATTATCAGTTTTATAATATTCTTGTTTATGTTTACATAATATTATATCCAATTTAATCTCTTAGATAAGAGCTAATTAAATAACTTTATTCAATTGTTTTTTTTATTTTGAGCATTAAATTTTTCTTTTTTAGATT